GGAGCGTGCTTTCATGAGTGTTCTTTCTCCGCAGTGCACCGGTGCTCATAAAGAAGCACACTCAACGGGGCTCAAGCGGGCACACATTAGCGGAAAACAGCGTTCACATTATGTGCTTCAAGACTAGCAATGATGACCAAGACGACATCGAGGATGAAGACCAGCTCACTGGCATCATGCTTTCTGGCCTTGAAGCACATAATGTGAACGCCGAGCGGGCGGAATATGCTAGTCTTGACGATGATGTGTGTGTTTGTCGTGATGACTCATTACAGGACATAGTACAGGAAGTAATGCCAGCACAGTGCAGCAGTGAGAGTGAAGATGACAATGAAGAAAGGGATGACTTGCTACCAACTGTCACAGCCATAGCTTTGAGCACATCGCTCAGCTCCGGAAGTTTCTGTCTGCAAAGGAAGAGTCCCGTAAAGAGCTACTTGCATTGGCTGGTATTGAAAATTTTTAGATTGTATGTGCTGACTAAACAGTCCACAATCGACAAATTTTTTGCCGGATGAATAAACTCAATGTCACAGCTCTTTCACTAATGTGTTATGCCTGTACTTGCTTATAATTAGGCCTATGTAGAGGAAACTGGCAAAAATCTGCTTTGTATGAGTAGCTATCCATGTAACAAATCATAATGCTGTCCAGTATCATATTTGGATGAATTTCTGATAATTCAAACTAAAATCTGTGACTTCCTGGAGTTTGAATGAGTGAGACTCTACTGTAGTTTGCTGTACGGCATTTCGCATTCAGCGAGTCATTTTGTCACTGTACACAGACGAAAGCATAAAAGCGTTCGGACAAGTTACGCATTCACGGCTGCATGATGCTGGCAACTGTAGGGTCAGTCGTTAGACTTTGCCCTTGGTGAAAGAGTCCTGTTTGTAACACTGTGCCGCTGGAGCAAATGCACAGATTGATTGCTACTTGGCGATACAACCGCTGCCTTCTCACGTCGACACATGGGAAATACCGCAAACAAAAGCAGACACCGTCACGACTTCGTAAGGTGAAACCGGAGAGGTCAAGAGCGGAAGAACTGCTTGAGTGTTGACGTGCTATGTCGCATCAACAGCAGAGGCCTGCCATTAAAAAAAAAATATACTAGTTTGCAGTTTCTTTGCTGGACGTGACGTCACGACAACTGACGGCAGCGATTGGCTGGCAGAGTGATGTAGATTCTTTTGGGGGGAATTTGCCACTGAATTCATAACCTGACATCAAATGTAGTTTCTAAACATGGCAGATATAATCGGGCCAGTTTCCGTCCACAATGCTGCCACCTAGTCTGTCGCACAGATTATTTCCGTTGCTAAGGGGCAATTGGGGCTTTATGTAAACATAGGCTGGACATGCGTGTAGGAAAAATAATATGAATGACCGACCAGATCATTGACTCTTCCAACATATTGCAAAAAAACAAAAAAAACGACAAGTCAACATTTTTTTTGTTTTTTCTTCATTTTTAGTGGCTGTCGTGTAACATCGAAGTATAAGTACCAAGTAAAATAAAACTAAAGAAAAAGTACATAACGTAAGGTGTACATGAACTCTATAGATATAATACCAGTCCCAATGGTTTAGCAAAGAAGCCAGTCTTCTCAGAAAACCCCCTCTCTCACTGGAGTCCGTTTTCTAATATTTGAATCTTAAAAAGAAGTTGCCCCGAAAAAGCGGCAGAAAATGCACAAAACAAAGTGACAGTGCCTAAAAAGGTCACACCTGCCTTTTCACATGGCTCTCGGAACTACATGCAGTGCAGGATGCAGAACGGTACCCATGGGCTAGCTGCAGTTGTAACCCAGTGCTTGTAGTATATCGCAGCTGCTTGGAAGGGAGAGGGGCCACCTCCTTCATGCCGTGGTACTGGGAAAAGCAATACCAATTAGCCGCAGGCGTCGAGCACCTTGTATTTCTGTGCATCCACAAAGCATTTCTGGGACAGCAACGACAGAAAACTTCAGTAACACAGTGAACAAAAAAGAGACCAAAAGAGTAGGCATGCAGGCGAGCATGAATTGTAGACACAGCTAAAACTCGAGGCACAAGGAAGCAGAAAGAGGGCACATGAAGAGGCCTTTCGACTTCCTTACATGTCGGGCTTGAGTCTCGTACCGGGTAGTAAGAAGCAACAATACTGGTTCCCTGGCCTTTCCTGTCTCAACAAGCCTTGAAACAAAGATATCCTACTCGTCATTCATCTCGTTTTCTCTTCTCGGGCGGATTAAAGTGCACGCTGCGGCAGTAAACTGCCTCGAAGGGGTCAAGTCACACTTCTAAGAGAATGATTGGCGAGCAACTTCTCCATTGTGTACTACGTGCACTCCATGTTTTAAAGGGGTACTCCGGCATTTTCTTCATTGTCCCCGATTTGCCTAAGAACTTGCTAAGCACATCAACAAACATCGCTGAAATAGTAACCGAAATATCTGGCCGAAATAGCTTTTTTTCGCAAAGTTACAGAATTTACAATTTTGGTCACCATTCTGTTTTTCAAAGTGGAAAGCTCTACCGGCAACATTGAAATTGAGACGTCATGGGAAGGCAAAGGTTCACTCTTAGGGCTGTAGACTTTGTTCACAACTGATCACAAACAGTTTCATTGTGTCAAAAGAATGCTTTGGAAGGTCGCCCCAAATCCCATCCAGCAGCACGAAACAAATGCTCGGCATAGTTCATTTCTACACAGCCGCTCGAACCGTGAGCCTGTCATCCCGCGACGCAAGGACGTAACTAGAAGGGGTTCATGGAGCCCGGCCCCGCCCGGCCCGCCGCTGCCGCCCCCCGCCCCCAAAACAAAATCCTGGCTATGTTCCTGCGTGACGTCACGGCAATGAAAAGCACAAGTATATTTCAATCTTGGATTGGCATTATACACGACAGTGGTAGGAACATTACTTGTGTCGAGCTAGAGAAGCCATATTGGGGGCTACCCCAGCTACGTCCACACTGGCTTTCATGGCAGTTATGTGCGATGCAGACAGCTTTCACTATTTCAACCGAGTGCCTAGGCAAACAGAAGCAGCCACATAAGACAATCAGGAAAAGACGCCGAGTTGTACAGGCTAAGGAGGAAGGTCATAGTGCAGCGAGCTATCTAGTCCAGGCTATTCCTCTGAGAAATGCAGTCGGTGGAAATGTAGGTGAGTTATTCCCGCCATTAATTTAGGTAACTAATGCAAGCATTACACTATTTTGCATATTTCTCTACTGCAATGCTAGTCATCCGCAGCAGAAACAACGCCCCAAACTAAAAAGAATTCTCGTTACATTGTTAACACAGACATCAAGTCCGTAAGCGAGCTGGAGTTCATCAAAGCACAACCGAGAATCTCTCGGAAGTACTTGGTTCCTTTTCAGTAGTTATTGAATGAAAACACAGTGCAGTGGTGATTACCATCAGCACAGCCTTGCCACTGGCACTGCTGTCCCTTGGGTGGCACATGCACGACATGGCCTACAAGCCACATATATCCCTAAAAGAAAGCTGCATAGGATGCACTTACCGTGGCTAGCGTCGCCACCCAGCAAGCTTGCACAAACCCTCTGCATGGCACGCAGTGCTGTTCAGAACAGAGCGCCACTGGCTAGCCAGTTAATGCGAAGGCTTGTAGTGTCTTGCTGCTGCCTTGGCAAAGCTGCAAGTCACCTCTTTCACGCCTTGTGGTGCCCATCAGCTTCAAAAGAAACGGTGTTGAGTCGCGACCAGTAATATGCAAAACAAAAACGAGAACGGCTCGGTTATTAATAAGTTGTGTGCAGCAGAGGCACGGGTGCGAGGGCGTAGCTTCGCAGAATGTTCTTTTTGCACGGCTGCTCGTGCAAAAAGGGCGCTTTTGTGCTCGGGCTTGTGCCTTTTCTGCACACAACCTATGTTACAGAGTGTATAGCACGCCTTCGAGAGCACTCGCGTGCGGCGAGAAATCCATAATATACAAGGTACGATCGCAGGAAACCTCGCAGGGGTGCAGGAAGCTGCAAGTGCACGGTGCACCAGAATGTGAAACTAGAGGTGGTGATAGAATTTCACAGTTTGAGAATATGACGTTACTTGGGTCAAAATATAGAAACGATAAACGTAACTGCCTTACCGGCTGATGATAAGGGCCACCGGAGCACGACCAACTATTTTTTGTGATCGGGGCATTCGATTGGACGCGGGTTGGTAAAGATTTGAAAAACACGAAAGAATAAAACATGTAGGGACGAAGACAGACAGCGCAGTTCTTTGTTGACATGAAATGTAAGATCAAGCACATTATTTTGTCGGATCAAATGGTTTTGTTGAATTAGGTTTAGCTCGCAAGTTAGCCGTTCTTCGGCGGGCTTTCAGCTTTCTGCGATGGTTGTTTTAATTGTGAACGCAGGCTCAAACAATGTAGGCAGCGGCGCCAAATAGATCTGAAACGAAGAAACAGCTCGGACGCGTGGAACGAACACACATAGAGATCACATCACAGGAAAACTCAAACCACTCACCTCTCGTTCGACGACGGTTCGTCAGGCACGATGTTTCCGATGTTTCTCCGGGCGTTGAGGGGACCGCGTCTGTTTCCGTGCTCCTATTGGTCGTGACGTCACCAAATTTCATCCAATAAAGTGCGCGCCGAAGTTTTCTCTAGTCGCCGGTCCCGCGGACGCCCGCGAGCGCCAACGAGCGCCAACTAAATTTGTTTTTCTTGTTCGTTGTAAATTCGTTTTATGACTTCCTTACCTATCTAGGCTGTTTAAAAAGCAACTTTTTTCCTTCGCATTTGTCCCTCGAGCAAAACTACCCCGCGCGGCCGCGGAGGGCCGGGGTAGTTTTGTTGGATAAAATGCTTCCTAACGTAATGTTCCATTTCACTGGAAAAAAACACAATAATTTTGATTTATTTTAAGAATATAGTGAAATCCTTTTTGTTTTAGTTTCCTTCTGATTTTCTTGAATTAATGCGTATGTGTAGTGCGCGTGGTCACCGTACATTGTAATCGGCGCGCCCTAGACATTGACTAAAATGGCGGCGTCCACAATGATTCGCTGTCGGGGCCTGCTGCAGAGATCGTTCGATAGCTCAAAATTTATAAGCTCAAGCTATGTATCAGGTACGTAAATTACAATTTTTTAATCTGGTCACGAACGATGTCGGTGTAGTAAAAGTGGAAAGCCAGCAACATGAATGGCAAAGCACGCTCCTATCCTTCAAGATGCTACCGCTGCTCCTCAACTGCACAAAATAATTTCACTCGCTTCGCGGACATCCCGATGCTTTAAAGGCCACTTCCACCCGGTATTAGTTAACTTATGCGCGAGCGAATGAGAAGTTTCATGTGCTATGAGCACACTTGACGTGGGATTGCAAGACTAACTGTCGGCGTATGGCAATTTTGTTTGTCTGAAAAGTTCAAACAAAATCCTCGTGCGTTTTTTTTTTTTTTTTTCCCCTGCATTTATGATTTAAAGAAGGGAACACATGAGCGGCAGAAACGGGCACCGCGCGCTGATTCACATAGCAACAGCCCAGGACTGTGACGTGAACCTATGCCAAGCCGCCACGTCGCAGCGTGCGCGCAAGTTGCCATGGGAACAGCAACGCAGTGCTGTTCCTAATGCACATGCGTATTTATCACCAGTGCACTAATACATAGTTTTGTGCGGTACATTTGCGGGCTTTTATGCTACGTAGCACATTCATTCTATGTTCATTGGCATTTTAAAACAACCATGAGGCGTTTTACAGTCTTCTGTTTTTTAATCTCTTCGCATTTATAAAGCACAGCGCCACTCCAGCCACCGACACAAATTTGTAGCCTTTTCCCCCCCAGAAGTAATGCTGGGGATTAACCCTTCACTGTAATAAAGCATGGCACAAAACTCGCAACCCTCAGATATTTGCCTCCATTTACCATCGCCTATACACTACGTGCGACGCGACCGGCGCGCCGCCGCGCGGCCGTTACCGAAGGTAGGGAGTGAGAGCCCCTGCGAAACGAAATTACGCCGCGTACATTGGTACGCATTGAAGTCGGAGCGTTGCGGTTGTGCTGGGTTGACAGCATGAACTGCTGCGTCGTTAAGTGCTGCAATAGTTATGTGTCGTATCTCGTGGGGACGAAGTTTCACAGTTTTTCACCTCGCCGATGTTTTGTGGAACAATGACAACAATGAACCCGTGCCGTACGACGCGAGAAATTTGGTCTCCTGATCATGTCTTCCACTGTGTCGGCACGGCTGACATATTCTACACTGCCGCTTTGCACTCTGCGTTTGTTTTCGTACCAGTAACGCCTACATATCTCCGCTCGAACTGAAATGCCATCCCACACTCGCGAGTATGCAGTGCGAATTTCGTTGAAGGAATGCCCTCGAAAGAAGTTTCGTCCCCATCGTACGTGTCGATGATATTTCCGGACCAGTATGGCACGCATTATGTACTTCATTAAGAAAGATTCGAACGGTACAAAAAGTGACAAATATGAATCTAAGGAAAACTACAACGAAACTTGGAATCAGTGGACAATCGATGTTTGAGTGTGGAAGTTTATGTCTGCTTTCTTTTTTGATCAGCCTCCTTTTGGATGTGGAAACGCTGACACCCCGAGTCTTGTAGGCAATAGTTTTTTTTCTCGGCTTTAGAGCCACCTATCGCAAATTTGTTCGAACTGGAATTACCGTCCACTGGTCCCTTCCTACCTAGGGCTTAAAGTTTGGGGGACTCAGGGGGTCTCAACCCCCCCCCCCCCCCCCCCCTTCCCTTCCACTGATTTTAACGGATGGTTTGGGACCCTCCTCCACAGCCCCAGAATTCGTGAAATCAAAATCATATCTTGCAATAGGATAGCTTGTTTTCAGGGATGTGACATTTGGGGTTGAGGGTTGCAGGTACAGCGTGGACAGAGTCAGCAGTGGGTTTTATTTTATGTGCATCTATTACATTCATCAAAACTCCTTCCTTTTCCCCTACCTTCTTGTAGGGACCCCCCTCAATTTACAGGGACTGCCTACCTGTTCCTACCTGTAAAGTGTGCACCTCCCGGCCATGATGAGTGGTACTCTCTTGACAGCCCTTGACGGTCAAAACCGGTTCCCATTTAGTTAGGTCGCCCAAAAATATTTCCACCTGGTTAAACTATATATGCAACCTCTTTTAGGTATAATATGTGCTTTGAAAAGTACCTGTGTGCCAAAAATCAGCACCTTGCACAACCAGATTACTACACAACCGCTGACCGCAAAAGCCTTTGACGGCCGAACCGTGTGTTGGCTGGCAACTTGGTTTTTTTGGCTTTGAAAGCACCTTTTGTAAAGTTGTTTCAATTGAAAGTACAGTGCACTAGTCTTTTTTACCTGTAAAGTCTCCATCTCCCACGACGAGCAGTATTCTCTTGACAGCCCTTTCATGGTCAAAATCGTTTCCCATTCAGTTATGCCGCCCAAACCAAATTTCCATCTGGTTTCTCTATGCCACCTATTTTTGGTATTGTAACTGTTCTGTCAAGTTACGGTCATGTCCAAAAACCTGTGTATTCAAATCTGCACTTCACACAGCCCAGTTATAACACAACATTTTGGGTCCAATATTGGACATTCCTGACAGCTTTATTCCTTTATTCGTTTGAACCATAACCCTCACACCTGCTGTCTTAATAAAACTTTGCCCATTTACTGTACAAACTTAGTGAACATCTCACTCGCCTCCAAATATCATCGTCCCAGCAGTCCTACGGTTACAGCGACGAGCGAAACAAATTTCTCACTGAGAGCAATTATGGTGGCGGCCGTCTTGCTTTTCGGAAAATTGTCCAAACCCCTTTTTTGACAGCAACTAAAGAAATACCCCTAATAACGACTCAAACTCAATATATAAGAAGCGAAGAACAGCTAAATGTCCTTCTTAAAGGACCCATGAAACGAATTTTAGGCTGGAGTAAATCAATTTATATTGGGATTTTACTAATAGCACATCGTTCAGTGGGCTAAAAGAACAAAGGTAGAAAGTCAGAAGGCTGACTTTCGCTACGAAAATTTGCAAAACATATCGGACTATTTTGTACCTCCTTCCCTTCGTAAACTCTCCGCCTTTTCACTGTGATACATCCGCGGACCCCGCAGCGCGTCACCGGGCTACTAGCCACCATAACCGGGCCCCCGCAGCGCGTCACCAGGGCCCAAGCGCACGTCACACGACACCGGACCTCACTTAATTCCTTTACCTCTAAGCTGACATTGCGGTGGAAGCTACGCGCTTGCCGGACCAATCAGCCGTCTTTCTTTCATCACCTGGCCTCATTCTCTGCGGGTCGGTATGCGCGAGAGAGCATGATCACGTGGAAAATGTGTGGCTGGCCCAACGAGCACGTAGCTTCCACAGCACTGTCAGCTTCGGGGTGAACGGCGTGGGGAAAGCAACTAGTCGGAATTTTGAGCGACGGGCTAATCTTCTAGGGGGACAATGGCTGTGTCCGGCTAGTCAAGCGAGATTCCCAGCAAGAGGGGACTCCTTCCTTTCCGACTTCTTGAACTGTTTGGTACAATGCGCGATTTATGAGTTGAGGAGGAAAGCTAAACAGAAAAAAGTTGAAAAAGCGTTTCATGACTCCTTTAAATCTGCCCCAGCACTCATGCAACGTTACCCTCAACTTATCGGCTCAAAAAGCAAAAGTTCCATCCGTGCGCACTTCTGCCGCCACAGCTTCGCACGCCAAAAGGCACCGCAGGCTGCTGAACGCGCCTCACTGTCGAACGCCAGCTCCTCCGCTAGCGGCGCTATGCGCGTTTTTCAAAGCGCCCCCTATAGTTCCCGCATGGAGCGTATAGGCTAATGGTAAGTCCACCCCTGGGCAAGTGCTTGTAGCTCTGGAGGGACACTCTTGCTTGGCACAGCTGAAAAGCATTCCAAACCAGGATGCTCGTAACAGAGAGTGCTTTAATGGTCTTTAACGTAAAACAAAGCATTGAGAGCCGGGTTCTCCTGCTTGGAGCTTGTGTTGAATCGTTAGCAAAATACACATTGCCAGACGAGCTTGTGTAATCTTCGGAAGCGAGTAGGTGTACAGTCCTCCCTACAATTCGGCTTAAAAAGCATATTACTTGCACAGAATATACACAGTGGAACACTGTCAGCATAAAGAAGTGATTGCCGTTTTTTGTTGTTTGTGTCTTACTATAAGAGTTGTCACCAAAACTACTTCATTTCCCCTTACGTCCGTCTGTAGCGGACACTACGGGCTATCCCAGTCCATATTTCCCGACTAAAATTGCTGAAAAGATTTCCTCTAGGAGGACGAAAGTATCTTGCTTGATCTCGGATGGGCTAGGTCCCTACTTAAAAACAAAGAGATTGTAGAGGAGGTTGGCTGGCCGGGGGTATATTATACCATGCAAATTGACGAAGCACCCAAACCTCAGCAACACGTTTAACAACTGGATGTTCTCCTGCAATATTTTTCAAAGAGACTTCAGAAGGTTGTTGTTGAGCACCTAGAGTCCTTCAACCTGGGTCGTGCAACAGCAAGCATCCTAGTGGATTGCATTGAAAAAAGCTTGACCAAACTTCCCAAGAACAAGCCACTCTGCTTCTTCAGTGATGGACTGAACACAATGAAAAGCGTGAAAAAAGAACCGGAAGAAACAATGACCCCAAACCTGTTGGACATCAAGGAATGTAATCTTCACAAGGTACATAACGCCTTTGGCACTGATGTAGAGCTGCTTGTGATCCACATTTGTTCTTTTTTCAAGCATGATATTTTATCTTTGCATCTCAAGGAGCAGCAGAGAGGTCTTGGAATCCCAAAACACTTCTTTCTTCAGCACGTCAGCAACAGATGACTCCCATTTCAGGACAGTCTTGAGAAAGTGCTAGAGCAGCACCAAGTGCTAAAGGCCTACTTTCATGTCAAGGCTGAAGCTCAACAAACAAGTGCTGTGCTTCAGAAACAACTGGCAATGGCACTTGCTGACAAGAAGACACTAGCCAAGATGCTCTTCCTGTGGGACACAGCTGACTTGTTCTCTGAGCATTTCAAGCACTTTTTTACAGGCAAGTACCCCTTATTCATATTGTTTGTTTGGAGGCTTTTAACCTCGTCAAGAAGTTTTTGGGCCGCTTGATGAGGCATGAGGTCTTCTCTACCATGACTGGGCCAAAATTGAAACAGCTTGACATAAGAGCACCAAGAAATCTGAAGCACATTCCCGAGATGGAATTTGACACCGATCAAGAAATGGCAGTTGGAGTCCCCAAGAGAAGAAATCTTTCTGGGTTGGTGTGCAAGCATTCTACATTTCTACTCTACGACACCTTTTGAAGCAGCTTCCACTAGACAACAAACTACTGCCTCATTTGCATATCTTGGATTCAACTCTCAGTTTAACATTGGACGAGACGGTCAACTCTGAAGTATGTAGCTGCAAGCGTGCCGCATGTAATCGAGGGTGAGCATGTGGTTTCATTGGTTTGGTGGGGAAATGGCATTCTGTCCATAGCTAGCCTGTTGTCGAAGGCACATTTCGCAGCTCTGTTAGTGGCTACTGGGCAGCTGTCTCGCCCTTTGACAGCCAAACTGAGAAGTCCCCTGTGCTACCTGTCTTGGTTCGTGCCTTACTCTCCCTACCACACGGAAATACTGATTGCAAACATGGTTTCAGTGAAAACCAACAAATCATGGACAACCGGGCAGGGCTGGGGATGCCATTGCTATGAAAAGCGTTTCGACAGTTATCCTTCGAAGGTGCCTCTGACAAGAGAGTTGCTAAGTGCTGTAAAAAACTCCCACAAGGCCTACTTGGAGCATCCGCAACGAGAGGCTGAGGACTGGGAGAGGTAGAAAAAGAAAAAGCGTTGAAAGCAAGCAAGTCACCCGAGACATTGAAGAAGATCAAACTTGGAGAGGAAAAACTGTGCCTGGAGAGATGCTTGGGCTCGTCAAAGGTGATGCTTAAGCGGGTCCAGGGACTGATCAAGACGGGGCTGATTAACAAAAACTTGGGAGAAATAAAATCGGGCCAGGTACTTTTTTCTGAGGCAAACACTGTCTTTTTGAGAACATGACTAAGCTGGTAGGTAGGAACAAAAATCTGAACATGCTTTAAGGGATGGGACTTTGATAGCTTCTTTGTGTTTAAAATGTTCAATGCACAGTAAGTTACATTGACAGTTGTGCCAACAGTTTTATATGAGAACATCTGTTTAGTAATCCTTTACATTGAATTTCTAGGAAATACAAATTTTTCATAGTTAAGCCTGTGGAAACCAACTTTACAGTGACTTATACTGTCTACAGCAAAAAAGAAAAAGAAACATGGTAGGAGATCTTTTAAGTGCACAATTCTCTTAACTCTATTTAGGTGATCATAAGATTTCATAACTACATGCTCAAAAGTACTTTGGAAGGTGATATTTCTCTACACATCACTATGCCCCCTCTCCAAGATCGTCTAACACTCGCACAGCTTTTGACTGACTTTGATGGCTCGCAGCATCCACTGTGGTCTGTCATGAGGTGAGACTGAATATAGTATGGTAGAAAGTGCTTGTTTGAGACACTAACCTAAGCTGTCATATTTGATGCTTGCTAATGCCTTTTCAAAGCAAAATGCAAAAAAGCCACTGAATTTGCGTTTGTGCTAACAGGGTTGCATAGTGTATGTGAGTTTCTGAATGGCACCTCTAAGCTCTCTTCACATTCATATCCTCAACAGGAAGGAGCGTTTCGCAGGTTCCGATTGGGTTCATTGGGCTGGGGAACATGGGCCAAAACATGGCCAAGAACCTCATTGCAAAAGGACACCGCCTGGTGGTGTACGACATCTTTCCGGAGGCCACGGAGGAGCTGGCCAAGCACGGGGCTGTCCCCGTGGGCAGTCCAGCCGAGATGGCCGACCAATGCGACCGAATCATCACCATGCTGCCGTCCAGCCCCCATGTGAGAGAAGTCTACACCGGCGACAAGGGCATCATATCGTAAGTTCTTGGTTCCCCTTGCGGCCTGCAAGGGGTAGCGTTTAGGCGGCTTAATTCCATGAATAATCTGTGGTTTACTCTGACCAGAGGATGGGAGCATGGTCTCGTGTGTGTTTTTGTAAGGTGGAAGAACTTTAATCTGCTTCAGATTCCATCCTACATCTGTCTGTCCAAACTATTGCATAAGGGTGAATAGAGTTTTTTGAGCATTAGTTGCTCCACAAGTTTTTCTGTGAACTTTGCTCTTTATGGTATATTTGAGGATGTGTTATTAATAGAATAGAAATATTTTTAAACACAGTCTAGAATCGAAAAAAAAAAAAAAAAAAGTGTCTTCGATGCATGCCAATATTTTGACACAGGTTCAGAGCTGAATTCAGAGGCTAAAAATATTAATTTACTGAAGTAGCTGTGTCAACGTAGTATGCTTTATTTTTACAAAAATGAATAGCGAAATAGAGAGGCTGCTTAAACTCTTTACTATTTTTACTTGGAAATTTCTGACCCTCAACTGCTTAATTGTTGTCTCCAAAGTTACATTTATTGCCTTCAAATTCAAGTTTCTAGCCACAAACAAAGTGTCAGCAATATTTTAAAATATTCAGTGCTGCCATGCAGGCACGGAGCCAGGGGGGGAGCCCACGCAGCCAGGGGGGCGCCCATGGGTCCCGGGCCCCCCCCCCCCCCCCCCCCCCCCCCCCTGAAATTTTCCATTTTGCTGGGACCTCCTCTCCCCCCTCCCCTTCATACAACATTTTGTCATGGGCGGCCCCCCCCCCCCCCCCAAACAAAATCCTGGCTACGTGCCTGCTGCCATGTGTTGGCAGCGCCGCAAACTCGGTCATGAACAAGCTTGGTTCGTTCATAACGTTTGAGTGTGTGAACCAGGGAGAGCAGACGAGCTATACTCGTCCTGAACGGTTTGGATCCACGTTGGCGATCAAAGCTCATCAAAAATGGTTAGAGGGTTAACATAATATTAGAGGTAATCAAAGGTTCTCTTTTATTTTGATCGGCATAGGAAATGCTCATTGTTTTTTTTACTTTCAAAAGAATCCTGCGTCATATATTTACAGTTATTTTAAAGGAGCTGTGCAACGATGTTAACATTGAAAGAATTTGTGTCTTCTACTTTTGACATTGCTTATACTGTCACAAAGGACAGAAAACACATCTTCCTTCAAAATGTTGTGATTCCCCTGCGTAATCACAAAGCAAAAATTAGAATATTTCCTGACCTGCAGCTGCCAGTGGCGGCCATGAAAGCCATGCAGCGTGATGTAAAGGGGGGACTTGTAAAAAGATACCAAGTTGTGCAAATACCTGCTCTATAAAAAGTAATTTTTCTATAAATCCTGTCGTTCCAACATAAATATAGATACGTCAAAAACCTGGTATCATTGACAGAAATTTTATTATACGGAGCTTTAGTGGCACCATCTTTCCGAGGTCAACGAAACTGTCGGCTCTATCTTCTACTGCAAACAGCCGCCAGAAGCCGGAGGGGGAGGGGGGGGCAGAGAAGGATGGGGATGGCCGGACCCGGACAAGCACGTTGGCACTTTCCTCCTTTGGCCATGTTGATTGTGCTGCGCAGGTAGCACGATCAACAGGGCGAACGTGGTCATGTGGTCGCAAATGGGTGAGTTCTCACTGCTCACTGATGGCTCTAGGGAGAAAGCTTTACTGGAACCCCGCACGTCCTCCTTTCACGTCGCAGCACATGTGACTCGGAAAATGGTGAAGGAGTTGAGAGGTGTAAAAAACCTCAATCTTTGTCAATTTTTAACATGAAAACTAGGACATGCAAACAAAAGCGGTTTTTTGTTCTTTACTTCAGAATGGTCGAGACACCAACTCCCAAATTATTTGGCCAAAGCACTGAAATCGTTGCACAGCTCCTTTAATGGCATATTCGAACTGTGTTGCATTTGCTTCAGTATATTGAGGACATTTACTGTACATCAGGAAGTGCGACAATTCTATCTCGATCATGCCACTACATACAAGCCCCAGAAATTTTTGCAAAGTTGACCTACATTTTAAGTTCAAATTACAGCACTGAAAAACAAAATCGACTCATTAAATAATTCCAGGGGGCTTCAAGAGGAGCCTATTTCTTCCCTAAATTTTCAAAAATGTGCTTATTGTATTAAAGTGTGCACAATCATTAATGTCGAAAAAGGTTAAACTAAAAAAAAAACAAGTTATGAGGTCCTGCAAGTCAAGGATCCTTTTTGCATTGGCACAATCTTGTTTAACGATACCAGCATCCTTTAGTCACTTACTGGTCACAAAACATTGCCATCACATGGTGAGGAAGCTTGCTGTATGGCGAGGGAAACCCACCCCAAGGCACCAGTGTCACCATGGCAGTGGTGGCTGCAGTAGTGCCTGCAAACAACTCAAACAATTGATAATATACATTTAAGAAAACACTCACATGTATAGACCATTCCATTTAGCGCTCTCTGGGCGGCACCATTTTGTTCGACCGCAGCGCCCTCTCCACACATCCGGGAAGTTCAGCAGGTTCGGCGGGGTAAAACGAGAGAGGGCACGCCGCCGACTCCGCTAGCAGACGACAAACCGGGAGGTTGCCGTTCTCCATCTTTGGGCTGTATCGGCGGGCTCTACCGAACACCGAACTCTCGCTTGTGGCTGCCGTTGTGAAGTGGTTCGCGTTCTTAGAATAGTTATGGCTACTTCAAAATCAGCCTATAGCTCTCTGTTGTTCTATTTTGCGAAATGATAAACTAGCATATCTTTTTTCCGTTACTTAAATAGCAGTTGAGTCAGCCGGCAGTACTACCCTCAACTTCTGCGTGTATTGCGGCAGGAGAGCAAGTTTTTATTTATTATTTCAGACTTCGACTCATGGTCGCTAAAGGCCTACACCAGTACGAACTTTTGTATAGTAAAAAAGGTACAGCAACCGGATTTTTTTTTCGCCAAAGAGACCGGCCAATCTGACACAGTTTTCCCTATTTTTGTTTTTTATTTGCACGCAGGTAACAGTGCAATTGGACCCTGTGAGTCTTTTTATCTAGCATAGTATTACACGATAACTGGCATACCAAAATCTGCGCATCAGCGCTTGAAAGTTCCAAAATGACGCGATTTTAAACAGAGTTTGCACGCCAGCCGGACGCTAGCTACAGCCCACTCGGCGGAGCGGACGGCTTGCGGGGGAGAGGGGGAGTGTATTTTTTTTTCTCTTTTACCCTCCCTGCTATGACCCTAATGGAACGGTCTATAGATGCATGTAGACAGTCAAAATGAAGCTTCTGTACTTTTGTTTCAGAAAGGTACAGACAGGGTCACTTTTGATCGACAGCAGCACTATCGATCCTTCGGTGTCACAAGAGATGGCGAAACTGGTTGAAGCAAAGGGAGCGACTTTCATTGATGCTCCCGTATCAGGTGGTGAGTGATGTACAGAACAATATTTTTTATTGTTATAAACTTTTAATAACATTAAATGGAGTTTTGTGTGCCTGGTCTATTTAACACTGATGCAGGTCAGTGCCTGCAGGAGCTTGTACATATCAAAGAGCAAATGGAAAGGAATGTAGTTTTGCATCTTTGCGTATCAGCATGAGGCTATTATTTATGTGTCGCTGTCATCACATTACATCTTTGTTTCTGATTTCATTCCCAGGCTATGCATACTCCACATATGCTAATTTGCTAATATTGTCACTTACCAGAGCCAAGAAATGGGCATTTCAAAATAATTTTCACTGCCTTTTTTTTTGCTTTCTATCACATGTGTGTTTAGAACTAGCAACGTAAATTCCAGTGCCTCTACATGTAGACATATAATAAAAGACTGCTCTGCAGTAGTGAAACTGAAATAAAAGAAAATTTTCTGCAGACCTTCATGGGTCTGCATGTCAGGTCTTAGTTGGAGTGCGGTGTAAGATACTGTTTCGGTGAGGGCACACAGCATAACTAACACTGCAATGTGATAGACCAGATAAAGTCCTATGCAGAGAGCAAGTCGTCTGCTTTTTGCGCAGAAGTTGCAGTGACGTCAGAAAGACACCGAGCTCTGATTGGCTCTGATTGAAGGACAGTGGGTAGACCTCAGAGCAAGTTGCCTTGAGGTCTACTTACTATCCTTCATTCAGAATGAATCGGAGCTCTGCGTTCTGATGTCACCACAACCCCTGCAAAAGAAGCAGACAAACTTGCATCCACATTGGCATGAGTCCAAGAAGCCTATGCTGACTGTCTCTCCACCTAACAAATGATGTGAATAAGGAAAAAAAAAAGGTCTCGCTTCCATGGCACTTGAGTGCACATGCTTCCTGCTCAGCACATCTGCTCTATCCTGGATGGATGGTGACTTGAACACCGAGCCAGAGATATCTCCGCTCCCATGCCTTTCTATAATTGTTCTTCAGGCCCAAAACTAGGGTCAGTGATGAAGCTGTGTCTAGGCAACACTCATAGTGCAAGTGCCTAGTTCTACATGACCCGGCATACCCAAAAAACAACTTTAAAAACAAGCATGGCTTCTGTAAAGCATGGGAAACGGGGTCCATGACAGGCTATGACTAGCCGCTTATCAAGGAGTCATCTGGTGGCGCCACTGGCAATTAAGGCGAGGAGAGGACTTTATCTAGCAGCTGTGACGTGTGCTGTGTGCAGGCCTACTGTAAAATGCCGCAGAAGTGCCTATTTCGTTCAAGAGCCCACTAGTAACATTTCCCAAACTTGGGAATTCTGCAAATGATACGTCAAGCACCTGATTTGACCGGACAAGCGCCGATGTCTAGGGTAACCTAATTTTCAGTGTAAGTGGATTGGGCGGTTCCCCCATATTTTACGGTATATATATTTTACACTGTAATTGGGAGGGTCAAAAGAAAATAATTTTTCTGCCATTAGTGCAAGGGTGTAGTGCGAGAGGAGCTGACCACTGAGTTCCTATATGTGACCCAAATCACGCTTTATGCTTTCTGGGCTTTTAAGGTTATCTTTGTTTCATGCTTTAGCTTCTACAACATGGCAGCCTTTGTTGCATGTGTCAGTAAACGCCAGCTCCTTGTTTCGTGATAAACTCTAATACTTTCTTAGTTCAGAAAATTTAGTGAATTTAAGAAGTTTGTCAAGGTTTTAAATAACCTGAAAGTTGGGTAAGGAACTAAATTCATTCAAAAATAGAAGGTTGGGAGTGGACTCGGAACATATAAAAGTAGAAGGTTGGAATGCTTCCAGTTTATTTACCCAAGTCCCAGGATATTAAGCCTTGTGGTTAAGTTCCACCAGCTTGCCTGTACCCTCACTGTTTTCTCATTGAGAAGTTTGTTTTACCATAAACCCCTTAATGTTCACGAGCCCCTAATTTTGGTGAATTTTGTGAATTCAGAAGTCTGCGAACTTTAAGGGCACGCAAAATATTCTAGCAAGACTGTTACAACCACAATCAAATTATGTTACAATCACAAAATTTATTTGAACAGTGCACTGTACAGGTAACCTTCATTTGAGCTACACAGCAGCACAAACTTGTGCAATTCTACATTTCTCAAACGTGCTACAGGCAGCGGCGGTCTTGTCACGAAGCAAGTTCCACACTTCAGTCGACCACACGGCATGCAATGGTTTCATTGATGAGGTGAAGCTCACTTAAAATTAAGCATCTTCCTCGTTTGTTAGCTGCGTAGCGATGGAGTTGGCATACCAGAATGTGAACTTTTCTTAATTTCCGACTTGAACATGCCATTGAAGTGCATATCTAGGGGCTGGAGGTGGCTTGTGCATCCAGCTGGTATGAACACATTAAAATGATGTTATTCTCTAGCAGCTTTTGTTGAACAGTCTTGGTCCAATGAGCCGCAAGCACGTCGAACAGGCACAGTGCCTTGGCATCAAAAGGTAGTCCAAGCGTCTCTCGTTGCTGGTTCAAAGAGGGTACAATGATGGCATCTATGTAACGCAGCATTGTGTCGGTAGTACTCCAGTGGTTTGGGGAATGCCCAATGTCCCAGGAAGCTGGAAAATCAATTGCTGCATGGCATCTCCTTGTCTTTCCCGTGTAGATTACTTGGGGAGGCAGTATGGCTCCTCCCAGTGCAATTGCAAACAGGACAGTAATTTCTCTCTTGTCGTCATGCCCGACCACAGAGATTTGCTGAGATCCTTGCTGTGCAATTGTCCAGTTGCTTACCGGCACTAGCTTCTAGCCATTATGGTTCCAGTTAAGTATCGTGCCTTTCGAAATTTAATTTTCGCGCACCACGTCTTCAGTTTTTGCCAGAAACTCGCTCTTCATGTCTTCGAAATCAGTTCGCACTTTCCTGGCTCTCCGCATTGCTTTTCTACGAACAGCATTCATTCTTCTCATTGTGGCCTCGGTACATTTTTGGTCAAGCACCAGCGAGCCACCATTTTCAGGAAGTATACTTGGTTGTTTTACTTTTACAATTCCCCAAGCGGCAGCAATGATGATCATCCGGTTAACGATCCCTCCCTTCTTTCAAATCTTTCAAATGTATTCTTGCTCGTCCTGATACAGATTCCCCAAGTTCAACTTTTTTCCCCGTGCTGCATACGTAGGTATGTAGCATGGGGAAGAAAGTTGAAGTCAAAGCACCATCTTTCATCGAACGATTGGTGCTTTCACTTACAGGGGGTCACAGGATCATCGCCATCTTACTTGCAGCTGCAGTGTTGCCCTGCTCCAGCGCAAGACGGGCGATCTTGGCTTGAGTTGTCTCGTCATACGTCCCATAGGTCTCCTTTCGCTCTCGTGGATTCGAGTCTTATTTAAGGCATCACGAAACGAGGCTGTTGGCGGCTGTGCATGCGTCTTGGTCCGAGCACTTCTCCTAAGAGCGAGGTTCTGGAAGCGGAATTCTCCCCTCCACAGGCTTAAACTGGTGGTACAAACTCATTTTCGATACAAACCGAAGTACGGCTTGCAAACAATAAAAACAAATAGACTTGCATGATCATAACCACAAGTCAGGGGAAAGAATGCGACAGACGCAACGACGTCTCGGAATACGGCTGGGAGGTTATTTTCATACAAAAGCCCTCTATCCTCGCTAGAACTCCTATTGTCACCCCTACGTCACATACGGATGGGCGAGCCCTATCGACCCCGCTTAAAAGACACCAATTAGACAAAGCGCCTTCCACACCATACCCCGCCCGAACCATGCTTTACAGGGTGTCACCGCAAAGCAGATCTACTCTTCACCTCCTTATTCCATTGTGACACATTCTTGTTGCGACCACTCCACTACTTCTTGTATACGGCAAAGCTGTAAATGACAAACTTGATGGCATTTCCGAGAAAAAGGGACAGCCGACTGCCCGACTGTGCTTTCTTGGGACGCCCGTTGGCAATGTTGCTATGGTTACTAGATTTTATTATCCCTCTCAAGAATTCACAAAATTTTGTACCCACAAACTATGTAGCCGTGCCCCAAGAATTCGCGAAATTTAGTAGCCGCAAATTTGCACCTGTGTCCTATTTGCGAAAAATTTGGGCCGCAAATTTAAAGGGTTTTACAGTATTTGCTGTTATGATGCTAACGAGACTAAAGGAGATAATTAAAAGGACAGACAAGATGTTGGTTCCTTGAGTCTCAGGTATCCATCAAGCTAAAAGCAATGCAGTGCTCAATTTGTTTTAAATAACTGTCATCCACTTTACTGTGTCTGAAAATTAAAAAATGAGCTAAATTCGCCATTACTAGCTGTCCAACTAAAAAAAAATTAAAAAAAACCTTGGGCTAAAATATTTTTGTACCCTTTTCCGCAGCCAAAATCCAGAAAAAAAATTGTAGAGCCCTTCCACTTCTCGTGAAGATGGAGGACTAGCAAAGCTGTTATTTTTACGACTTTAAGGACAATGCCAAGTGAACAACGTCTAGGACGACCTTAAAGGACACATGCAAAGGAAAAGAACATCTTTTTAAACAGCTTAGATGGAAAAAGGATGTCATAAAACAATTTTACAACGACGAAAAAAATTTTTTAGAGCTATATTTACGGCGCTATACGAATTTGTAGTTGGCGCTCACGGGAGCCGCCGCTAGTCACGTGGTAGGCCCGCGCGCCGCCGCGCTGCGTTGCCGCCGCACGCTGAGCGTTGTGCGAACGCCACTTCAACGCGTTTTTCCACGCCGCCGTCGCCGCCGCCGCACAAGTTTGTCTGCTTCGGGGCGCCGCCGCCGTCGTCTGACCGGCGCACAGTTCTATCACGTCTGCTTGCGCTTTTTCAGGAGTTTCCTTTGGGCTCTAAAAGTTACTTAATCATCTTAGTTTTTTGTTATACTTCAAACAAAGATGAATAAGTTACTTTTAGAGGCCACAGGAAGCTTCTGAAAAAGCGCAAGCACCACCTGACAAATATGGACCAGTCACGTGACAAATAAAGACCACTTTTCCGCGGCACCCGCGGGCGCCAACTACAAATTCGTATAGTGCCGTAAATATAGCTTTAAATTTTTTTTTCTTGGTTGTAAAATTGTTTTATTATATCCTTTTTCCATCTAAGCTGTTTAAAAAAATTTTTTTTTTCCTTTGCATGTGTCCTTTAAGGACGACCTCGAGGACGACGTCTAGGACGACCTCAAGAACAACGTCTAGGACGACCTCGAGGCCGACGCTTAGAGAACGACCTCGAGGACAACGTCTAGGGCAGGGATGGCCAAGCTGTGGCTCCCGAGCCGCATGCGGCTCTTCGTGTGTTAAAGTGTGGCTCGCGGCTCCCCCCCCCCCCTCCTCCCCCCCCCCTCCGCTCCCCCGCCTCCCACCCGGTCACACGAGCACTTCCACAAAAAGAGAAACGGAACGTGTTTTAAATCGAAAGACAGATTGCTGTTTGGCAGTCTTACTTGCAGTGAACTGCTTTTGACTCGGATAGATTGAAGTACTTCGACTTTCTTTTATTGCTCTAAACAAAAGTTTCCGCCCCTTCCCCTCCCCCCCTGCGGCTCTTGGAAGTTTCGTGGTTTTTGTTTACGGCTCTTAGGCCGTGTCAGCCTGGCCACCCCTGGTCTAGGATGACCTCAAGGATGACTTCTAGGATGACCTCGAGGACAGCACCTAGGATGACCTTTCAGACAACCTCAAGGATGACTTCTAGAACGACCTCAAGGACGATGACTAGAGATGATAACAAAGGATCAGAACCTCACTATCTAATAATGCCAAGGAAGGCTGATTCACGCTGGTTGCCCCCTCTTTTTAGTTTTATTTATTCATACTTGCCACAACCAATGGGGAGTTTTCTGTCAACATCTGCGGACACATTTTTTCCCAGATCCTAGTGCATAACAGCTTCGCTGTAAAAAAAATAAGCTCGAGGTGCACCTAAGCACTTCTTATGAGTTGTGAATGCGAAAGCATGCAATCCGCTCGTCCGCTCCCTTCTTCGTCTGCTGCATACTTTTCGTCGCCGGTCAGCGCGCAGGCTCCCTTGGGCGTGCTGACCTTGGATGCTCTGTGTTAACGGCACGCTGATGGACACGCAGCGCCATGGGGTGAGCAGCCGTGGAAGCTAACAAGCGCAGTGGCCCATAGGAGCCCCGTCGACGCACGCCAGCCAATGCAACCGAAGGCGAAATCCATCAGCTTTGCTTCGCTCCTTTGGGATCGGGGAAACTATGTGCCGTTTTCGAGCTTCAAACTGACGACGTCAGCTCGCTCCATGGGACAGTTAATGCTTTTGCATTGAAAACTTGCCGGATGACACTGCACTATTTTTCCCAGGAACTAGGTCACCTTTTCATGGATGCAACTCTGTCACCCTGTCACTCATCATTTTTTTTGTTTCTAGCGCAAGAGTTTGGAGCCTGTTGGTATCCTTACTATTTCTTGTGCTGTATTCACACCTCATGTTATGTTACCATGAGTTTGGTTTCATGTTCTAGATAGAGGGGAAGGCAGAAGTTTTGGACCAGCTCGCAGCATGAATATATAGTTATTCTGAAATTTTGGTCTTCCAGTTTCTCAGAATAGGCATTTGTCATATCAAAGATGAAAAATAATACATACAGCTTTTGAGCATTCAATATTCCTTTATGCTCCGCACTGTCTAATTCAAGTTGTAGATTACTAGGTGCATTTATTTATGTCTTTACTGGCCTCCTTTCAGTAAAAGGTTTCTTTTATCTTCCCTTGTCATCAGCAAAAGGAAGTTTGATCAGGACTACTGAATTATACTTTTAATTTCTAAATTTTATTGTTGTCGCAAGCTCTTCCTTTTACATCGAACACAACGAGCTTAGTTGAGCAAGGTTCATTTAGTGCTCATAATTACCCAGTCCTGTCTACAAGAGCAATTCTTTTATATTCTAGGTGTGAATGCAGCCAAGGCTGGGACACTTACATTCATGGTTGGGGGGAAAGAAGCTGAAGCCCAAGCTGCAAAAGAGATTCTGCTCTGCATGGGCAAAAATGTGATACACTGCGGAGGGGTTGGCTGTGGCCAAGCAGCCAAGATCTGCAACAACATGATGCTGGCCATCTCTATGATAGGCAATGCTGAGACCATGAACCTAGGAATAAGGTGAGAATGCCATTGCCATCAGTGACCATCAGAAATTGAATATTATGTTTCAAAGGAAAAATATTGGAGTGATGAAAATGCACAAGGTGTTTCTAGGTGGTGCATGCTTCTTGCACTCACCTTGCAACATTGAGGCATATCTGCATAACATTGTAGTCTCCATGAATCCTAAGAACTCGCAAATCCAAAAATAATTGATTGGGATTAATGCGAAAAGTAAATTCTTCAAGATTTTTTACTTCCTGCGCAAGCAATATCTCCTTCTCCCTATGATTCTCTTGCTGTTTCATCGTCGATTCTTGACTATGCACTGCTCATTATGAAGTGTGCTCTCTGTTAGTGCATTTATACTCTGCAACTTTACGCTATGATACTGGTGTTAGTGGGAGTTGTTTGTGCTTCCTCTACAAATCATGACAAACTCTATTTCCATATTTCTGGTGACTGCTTCCTCTATTGTTTGGATACCTGGGTGATTTCAGATAAGATCGACCAAAGGGTGGCTGGTCGGCATTTTTAAATCAACTGATGTTTTTATATGCTATTGTCTAATGTCTGGTATCAACGAATCCACACTTAGTTTTGACCAACAAAAATATTTGGGGACAGGAAAAATCGTAAGGCATGAAGAGGTGGACAGTGGCATTAACGCGCACCGATGGAGGGAACACGCTTGAGAGAATAACTAAAAAACGATAACATTAGGAAAATTTTAATACTTTTTAGATGCAAACTATGGGTACAGCTTGCTTGTAATATAAAGTAATAATATTTATTTTAAATTTTATTTATTTTTCTAAAAATTGCCAAACATGCCTGCTCGAACGACAAATGGCAAAATTTGGAGGCCTGTATCTCTAAAAATAATTTAATAATTATCATACAATTTGCAGGTAGCATTCTACTTATATAGTATGGCTATTATTTAAAAAATAAATAAGGTATCTGAGTGATACGATAGTCGGGATATATTTAGGCAAACATGGGGAAAAAATCAAACAACAAAAAATTCCGATGCAAATTAAAAAAAAAAAGAACCCCTTTGATTCTTTTAAAATTTGGGTAGCCTGTCATACTCTATTTCGGCATTCAATTCTATTAAAAACATGTTGCATTATTTTATTAAGAAAGAAGACACAACTCCCCAAAGCAAGGTCCTTTTTAAAAGCCTACACTTAGCAGTGCCCATACGGGAAGTGACTGAGTTCCAGCTTCAAGAAACAAACACACACCTTTCATATATTTTTATTCAGATGAGGTCACTGACAACTAGAGCATTCGGTCACATACTAAAAGTGAGGAGAAACTATATACAGCATTTTACATACAGTGTACAAAGAGGTATCATATTAGAGACTAGTGATTCGAGAAAAGTTGATGCAGTGCGAAGTTTTACTTTTTAGTAAAATTTATATTTAAAATAAAAGAAACAACTTTACTTCCACACACAAAACCAAAGATAGAATACTAAAATTGTTTAGGTTAGTCATATATTTCTGGGGACAAACCACATCAGGTGAGCGGTGCCACCGCGCCGGACTGTAAGAGCTACGATACTCTTGGTGTATGAATGGATCATGTCAAGCCGAGATATTTTGTCCAGCGCGAGAATAATGTTTCGTGATTCTCATATGGTGATCAGATAAAGATTATAAGCTGTCACCAAGTAAAATAGTAGGTTAAATACCCCACGAAGAAAACTGTGATAAATAAGATGTCCCTGCATTCAAAATGAGCAGTCCTTGGGGCATCAAATTCGGCATTTTACACTAAGGCTTTCCTCGATGTACCAATTTAATAAAGTTTCTTCTAACCAGATCTGACTGTCCGTGCTACATATATGTCACAGGTTCCTTCTGTTGATGACTTGCACAGCCGCCTTGCGTGCCAAGACTGAATGCCAGGAAAGGCGTGCACCGTCAGCCACTCTTCTTTTTTTTTTGTTGACGATACCGAACAAGTTCATTTTCGTCCAGATACGCAAGATGCACACAGTTTCTCAAATAGAACACTCACCATTGTCCTGGCCGTCTGAATTGCATTTATTGAACGTTCTCTCAGGTTGTTCAGCGTGGCCTGGTGTTTCACGAGTCCGCCAACTCCATCACATGCATTTTCCCATGTCCACATGCAGAAAATAACCACTGGGCTTGTGGGCAATCATTCTGTGCAAACTGGTGAAGCTGGTAGCGACTCTTAAAATGACTGGCGGCCCCGTCACTTACGTACGTCACGTGCTAGTATGCCGCAACATTGCTTTAAACCCACTCTTTCACTTTTTCTAGAGCCAAGCACGCGAGAGTGACGTCGTCACGCAGGTCCTCACTGATGATAGCAACGCTGCTTCTAGATTTTCTTGTCGTCACTACACATGTAAATATAGTAACTTTTTTTTTCTTCAGTGGTATGCTTTAACTTTGTCAGGAAGCACGATGGTCCAGTTTTCAGCAAAGTCAAAATGAAAGAAAATGCTCCCACGTTGCATGCAGCTGCTTTTCATCGTAGATCGCTTCACCTTGCATTTGTCGGATACGGTTGTGAAATATCCAACTTTCAACCGTTACTTGAATGACTTTTAGGAAAGTCTCAGCATCCAATGTTGTTGTTTTTTTTTCTCACAAGGTCGCCGGACTCCCATGTTGTAAGCACAATCTCTTCATCCTCTGGGATATGAAGCCCCTCGAGTGTAAGAGACTGGTCTTTTGGGGACAGATTACAGTCTCCTTAAAGGGCAACTCCGGCCAAAACTCAAAATGAAATAAATTACTGGTATCGCTGTAGTGACACAAAATACGACCCCAGCCAAAATATTACGGCCGTGGGACGCCGCATTCTCAACTAATGCCGATAATAAAAATGCGACCCGCCGCGAGTCGCTGCTCCCTAGCGGGCGGCCAGCGGGTTGCCGATCGCTAAAGCAACATTGGGCCGTGACGTCCGTATCATTCTCTTTTTTTCCTCCGGTCCGGGCGTTGCATGGAGTGCGCTTCTTTGAGCCGCTACCACAGCTACTTCGGCTTGTGATAGGCGTGTTTAGCCATTGCTTTTATCTGTAGCCCGTGTAGCTTCTGTATAGCCTTTTGTTTATTTGCTTGTGAGGACTCCAAGACTCGTTTTAGCGAGCAACTCGGTGCACCCAAGACTGCCCAGCGGTTCCTCGAAAGATGCCGAGTGCAACTTGTAGCGCTGTGGGCTGCTCAAACAATCCGCTGCGCGAAACAAGGGTGCTTTTTCACAAGTTTCCAATGAACCGGATATTGGAGAAGGTGGGGTGAACGCTGTTCGACGAGTGGACTTTGGACTTCGGCTTTTACGCGCCCGAGGAAAAAAGAACGAAACAACAGACATGTACAGCCCAGCACACGCGTGTTCAATCACCGCGGCCCGCGCCGGAGAGCCTCAAAGCTTTGTGTCTGGGACTGACCCGCAGCGCGAAAGCGAGAGGGCCCCCAGTACTGTACGTCACTGACATTTTTTTTCTGGTCAAAACTAGCCGTAGATTTGTTTATACCAGACACTAGACAATAGCAGACAAAAATATCAGTTGGTTTAAAAATGTTGACCAGCCACCCTTTGGTTGATCTTATCTGAAATCACCCACCTATCAAGGCAATAATGAACAGTTGAACCAGTGGCATAGAATTTTTTTGGGGGGACAGAGGGGGGCTGAGGTGGCTGGGATATCCATTACTTGGGTCGCGAAGGGGGAGGGAGCTGAAACCCCATAAGCCTCCTTTGGCTAAAACACAAATGTGGCTAGGGATGTTATGGCGAATGAATGTGGCAATGTAACACCCCGGCCACATTTTACACCCCCTTTAGGGTTTGATGCAATGAATGTTTTAACAAGTTTTGGCATTTCTTTTTGCAAATGAAAGCTGTTTTGGCCGCTTTTTTAGGCTTGGGCTGGACCCCAATGTACTGAATGGCGTCCTGAATGTTAGCTCTGGAAAAACGTGGCCCAGCGAAGTGTACAGCCCCGTGCCTGGTGTGATGGAAAATGTCCCTTCAAGCAGTCAGTATGAAGGAGGCTTTGGTGCAGCCCTCATGACCAAGGTATGTAGTGAAGGATGCACAGAAACATTTCAATTATGTGGCAATGAAACCATACTTGTGGCAGTGGAGAGTAGGTGCGGTAGAGTGTTTCTGCCACTGCTGTTACTTCGAAGTGGCAGTTATTTGTATTTTAATTCCTGATATAATGTTATAAGCACAAATTTCTAACTGCATAATTACTATATCATAGACAGTTTCCAAGGTTGTATGCCATCTAGCACTTCAAATAGCAGTCTAACTTTCGACATACAAATGGTCATAATGAAAGTGTTGTGTCGGACACAGTTAGTTTCGTATGCCAACGGAAGACATCTTTTTTCAAGTAACACCTTTTAAAGGGCTAGTTGGTTCATGATTTGTAGAAATAAATGAACTGCGCAAAGGACGAGGACAGAGGTAGAAACGTGTACGACACATGGAGCGCAGACTTCCAACTGTTTATTTGGCGCAGACACAGCAGTATATATAACAGCAGCAAACAGTTTGCGGCGAAATAAGGTTTAAACATGACCATCCAAAAAAGAAAATTCCTTGTCCGATAGTGAAACAGATTGCATGCTTATGCAGTCGTGACCTTTCTTTTTAATGAAGTAGGCTTCTACGAGTTTTCTTTCCGTTGCCTCATTTGCTCTTGCGAGAACACATGTCCTTTGCAAATCAGGATGACAACCGCATTTCAAACAATGAACAGGCAGATGTCCGCCTGTGTTGTTTTTTATCGACAGAAAGTGTTCACGTGCCCTCAGGTTGAAACGACGTCCAGTCTCGCCAATGTATACTCGCCCGCAAAGACTGCCTTCTCTGTAGACATTCAGGACCTGTTTTATTCGGTGCCACATGAGGGCTTGCTTACAGCCTCCTTGAACTGTTGCGGTTTTACTTGAGCTCTACAGTAATTGCGCACGAGGAGAGGTTTTATGTTCAAAAGACCGGCATTTGTATCAGGTCCGCGGTTGCCCCCGTGCTATGTGATATGTATTTGTCCTTTTTTGACAGGCACTTGCAGCAACAACTTTGCGATCAGCATGTAGTGCGCGTTTTTAGATACGTCGATGACTACCTTGTGCTTTTAGATATCGAAGGTTCTGATTGTATTCACAAGGCTGTTTCTAGCATTCTATCCATCTTCGTCTCAGCATCCGATGGCCTTAATTTTACCCATGAATTGACCGCTAACGGTTCCATCCAGTTTTTAGAACTAAAAATAATGTTTAATGACTACCACATCTGCTGGTCATATCACCCTAGGACCAAGAAGGGTCTTTTGCCCTATGACAGTGCTCACTCAAAGCTTGTCAAAAGAGCCATCATTATGTCTAGCTGTACATCAGCATTAGAAAAATCACGTGTTCACGAAATGGCGTCCAGTTTCCGCGATCAGTGTGACCGCCTTACTGCCGCAGGGTACCCCCAACACTTGGTCTCTGCTGTATGTGTGCGTTTGCTACAGAAGCAGAAAACTGGTAGTAATGAGCAGAGGAAAAAAGAAAAAATGCATGTGCATGTCATCCCGTACCACCACGGCCTGTCCCATAACACCTTGTCCTACATGGCATATGACAGAGAGGATGTCCTACATGCTGGATTCTTCTTCTTTTATTTTTCATTTCTTGTTTTCTTATGTTGATATGTTTTAAAAAGATGAGAAAGTAAGCAAGTTGTGAGTCAGCGCTGTGTCTGTGTCCCTTTTTCTACCTGTCCTTGTGTTCGTTTGCGCTGTTTTTATTTCTATGTTTACAATGCATCACCGACTAGCCCACCTCCAAACATTACTCCATAACCTGAAAAAGGTGGCGGCCAAGTATGGTCTCTCGGTCGTCTTTTCAGCGCCCTGCAAACTCAGTAAAGTGTGCCCTATGATGAAGCCAAGAATGAACATCAACAAATGAAAAAAGGAGCACAGCACGCGCTACACGGAATGCGCATCCGGTGTTATCTATGAAATTCCGCTTTCTTGCGGGCGAGTATACATTGGCGAGACTGGAGGTTATTTCGACCTGAGGGCACGTGAACACTTTCTGTCGATAAAAAACAACACAGGCGGACATCTGACTGTTGTGATGGCCTGTAGCTGCGCTGGTTGGTTATCCATGCTTAATGATTACCAGCTGAACGTTAGGAAAAGCGACGAAGAGAGAAAGAAACACACTGCTGGACTATCAACCCTTTTTAATAAACTTCCTTTTCCTCAACCCAATCCTAAAAGGGTAGCTTCTTCGTCTTCAGTCAGAGCTTAGACTTAAACTTCCTTTTTCTCCTCACGAACCTTGGTGTTCTCCACCTCTTCGACTTTCCTTAATGCGGTTGTCATCTTGATTTGCAAAGGACACGTGTTCTCGCAAGAGCAAATGAGGCAACGGAAAGAAAACTCGTAGAAGCCTACTTCATTAAGGAAATTTTTCAAGATCCGAAAGTCAAAGAAGACAAAAACTCCACGGATCGTGAGGAGAAAAAGGAAGTTTCTGTCTAAGCTCCTACTGAAGTAGAAGAAGCTACCCTTTTAGGATGGGGAAAGTTGTTTATTGTTTGAAATGCGGTTGTCATCCTGATTTGCAAAGGACACGTGTTTTTGCAAGAGCAAATGAGGCAACGGAAAGAAAACTCGTAGAAGCCTACTTCATTAAAGAGAAAGGTTTTGAAGGTTTTGACTGCATAAACATGCAATCTGTTTCACTATCAGACAAGGAATTTTCTTTTTTGGATGATCATGTTTAAACCTTATTTCGCCGCAAACTGATTGCTGCTGTTATATATACTGCTGTGTCTGCGCCAAATAAACAGTTGGAAGTCTGTGCTCCATGTGTCATACTCGTTTCTAGCTCTGTCCTTGTCCTTTGCGCAGTTCATTTATTTCTACATCTTTTTTCTATCGACTTCTGACTTGCATCGTTTCAGTTTCAATAGTAATGACAAGCAATCAGTCTATATAGGTACACTGACCTGTGAGTGTGTTTACCAATTGATTGGAGCCCACTTTGAACCAAGCGTTAGTAGTGCTCGTATCCAACTGATATGTCTCATTGTGTCGACGTCTCGAATGTAGGGCCTTGGGTCATTTGCGCAACTTCTTCGTCTCCGGCTATTAACACGTGTCTTTGACTTCTTTATTCACCACCCACCAGAAGTACCAGAGGCCGGCCATTAGTATGGCAGACACAGATGATGGTAGTGAACGAAATGACTGGATCAAATTTCAAAAGGGGTCTATAGAAGAACCTGCACCGATGCTCAAACAAATGCCCACCCCTCTTTCAGCATGTTTATCTCGTAATTTCTTACTTGAAAAGTGGAAACTCCCCTCGATTTCTTTTTTTCTGTCCTAGAAAAAAATAACTTTACCTCCTTTTTGCGGGGATTAAATCACCCAGATCCACTGAATTTGGCTGAGGAGGGTATGAGAATAACCTAAGGGAGAGGTCATGTGAGATGGAAAGGAAATGAATTCATGCAATGACAATGGTGCAGCATAATGGAGTATGGGAAGAAAATGAAAAGTGGTGGGAAAGGTACCGTATTTTCTGGACTATAGTCTGCAGACTATACATGTTTAAAAATTGAAATTTTACCCGATGCGGACTATCTACAGGTGCGGACTGTACCAGGATTATTTTTTCTAAATCATTCACTGTGACAAGACATCAAGGATTTTATGAAAAACAGAGTACATTAACGTTGATTTATGTATGATACAAGCTTCTTTGCGAGCCAATGCAGCAGGTATTGTCAAGGTGTGCTCTGTACGATCATTTTTACGTTCGGATTATGCACCAAGTGTGGACTATGCACCAGGTGCGGACTATCTAAGCAAAAGCTTTTATTTTTTACCACAAATTTGCCCCTGCGGACTATGCACCGGGTGCGGACTATTGTCCGGAAAATATGGTAATAAATATTGTGGATATTGTGAACCAGTCTACAAGATTCCACATAGAATTATTCCATGCATATGGCAATACTCAGTAATAAAACGATTGACAATCAGGTGTGTGTTAGCTGATAATTTAACGGGAGATATTTTGTGCAGGATCTCGGACTGGCTCAAACAGCAGCTACACAGACAAGCTCACCGACACCTCTGGGCTCTCTTGCTCACCAAATTTACCGTGTTCTCCTGAGCAATGGACTAGGGAAAAAGGACTTCTCCGTCGTTTATCAGCTCCTTCAAGGCAACCCTAGCAAGTGAACAAAAAACTGTCAAGAGAACAAAGTTGATAAAATGTTCTGTGGAGGTGTCATTTATTTGGCTGATAGGTGGGAATAAACAGTTGGATAACTCCTAGTACTACTGTCCCTAGTTTTGGAGCATTTTATTTTAATAAAAAAATTAACGGATGTAAGAACGTTTTGCATGAGAGTTTTCCATTACCGACATTCCCCGCTTTCAGGTGTATAATAAAAGTTTGTTATTAAACTGGTGCGCTATTTGTTTTTACTTCAAAAACAAAGTAGATAGAAAGCATTTGAGATAGATATTTTGTAATTCTGATATTTTGATGAGCATGCTCATATTATTCCAATGAAAGATGTGAGGTTGGAGCTCTCCAGGCAGGTTGTAGAAATTGGAATCAATTAGAAGGGCCGTGCAACAACATGGGTAGAAATGTTTCTCGCTTTACACCAGCTTATTGGCGCTGGTGGAACCCAAGAATACTCTACGCAACGCCACTGACCAAGAAGCGTCTTTGTCATGGTTGGATTCCAAGAATAAGGGCGGACCTTTTCTTTCGGTCTCTCCTTTGCAAAACTTGATGAAGCTGCGGGGACAATGCCGATATTGCAATCTCCAGGAATGCATCATCAAGCTTTGCGATCCCCGCTGCGACGATATTTAAATGCGGCTCCTACGGTGAATAAGAGCACTGCATAGGCATTTGATTTCGGCTCGTGACAATGAATGCCTTGACATGCATGCAGGTAGTGGTTCATGCCCAACCGCTGGGATGATGGGAATAGCCCCACCCCAACAATACGCCCTAACAATGCCCGGAACTCTGTGCACGCCCTGTGCTCTGCCAACCCCAGCATGTGGCTATGTTAAAAACATTGGCGGCATATGAATGGCTCCAGACCACATAGCTGCTTTTTCTGACTGCAAGTTTAGGAAGTAAGAGGTGTAATTTTTCTGATTTTTTCTGCGACTGCTATTTGCCTGGAGAAACGAAATGAAGTGTGTTTCATACGTTGTAAATGTCAAAGAATGATTTGTTTTATCGCCCCTTTGTTTCGCATGTTCCAATCTGGCTTCCTTATCTAGATCAGCTATGGTAAATATAGTGTAGACCGCACATAACTTATGTCGCGGGAGTCGCGAAAATCCGCACTATAAGCGGTACCGCGCTATAACCAAAACATCAATTTTTCAGGCCAAAATAGATGCCATGAGACAACTTACCTTTGTAAAATATTTTTTTTATGTTAGATGAAAAATAAAGCTTAGTTTGAGGAAAGTCTTTATTTCACCTCTCAAGTGTGTCACACATTTTAGAAGAAATGAGCGACTTTTGCCTGGCGCAGCCTTTCAACGGTGTCGCGGGTTGCGAGCATTTAGGATTGCTAATGCTAATCACTTTTCTCCAAGTATGAAAACACGTGAAAATTCGCATCCTCTATACGGTACGCGCCAGTAAAACCTTCAACTTGAGCACAGGCATGAAATGCTCCAAATAAGAAATACGGGCAATGTTCGAAAACACAAATGCTTAGAAAGCAGCACTGTAGTCGAAGTAAACAAACACGACAACACAGGCATTTCTGCAGTCTTGAGAGTGCTGTCAAGACATTGCCGCACGAGTAGGTGGATCTTCCCTTATAGTACGTGCTGGGTTATCATAGCGACACACAACGAAAATTCACAGCCAAGGATAGCGCTTTTACGCGGAACGATGAGTTTCCACCACGCCGGCTATGTCGACGATCACAACCGACGCCATGTTTGCCGATAGAAGAAGCTGGCCTGCAACCGGCATGCAACGCGCGCGAACACTTCTCTTCAACCTGCGATTGGTCTGTCGCTGCGGTTGTTGCCAACGCAGCGGAGGGACGCACGCACGTGAACGACACGTGCGTGCATCCCTCCGTCCCTATGGCAACTGAAGCCTCTCTCTTCACTTCTCCCTGCTTCTTCGAGCAACCTCCTTGTCCCGCGAGTGCCGCTTGCGGCTAGCGCCGTTATCTAGTGTCGCACAGAGAAGCGTGCTCGCTGCGCAGGTCAGTCGGCGCGGTCGGCGGGCTGTTCCAGAAACCGCACTAAAACCGGTCTTTCCCTTCGCGCGCCTGCATTTTAAGCGGTATGTAATTACATGGAGTGCTACGGGAGGCGAACCGGTGGTTTAAAAAAGCCGTGTTATACCCGGTCCTGCACTATAAGCGGTTACATTGTAAGTGATCAATCTGTACCTTGGAATCGGGAGAGAATTTGGGTTCACTAGGAGACCTGAAGAGGCAACACTTGCTCCTTAGCAAATGTTGCCTCTTCAGGTCTCCTGGTGAAAAAAGCCTATATAACCTCCATGGCGAAAATTCCAAGGGTAGCAACATTTTCGAAACAAATTCTTGTGTAATGTCAGAACCAAAATATTTTGCAGCAACACAGTGTCAGTTGCCATTAGTAGTGTAGAAGCAATGTCAATGGTGTTTTCAGGTACTTGCACTGTTGCAGGTATTCGGAAGTTGGCTATTCCTTATTGTGCGCCACTTTGCAAGCAGGAGTGTGAAGTTCAATAATGCAGACCAGATTAGATCCCTGGTTTTTCTTAATAGTCCAAAGAGCACAGGCTTACCACATAGGAGAGAAGGGGCAAACTGCACCACAGTAGAGGTGTTTATGTATATCACTAAGAACAAGCTGTGAAGAATGCAGCTGATACATGGAATGCCGTCTCCACAGAACCCTTCACCACTGAGCACCGAGAGGAAACGTCGCTGACATCGCCTGTTATGCTTGCCTGGGAAAGTAAAAACAAACGAAAATGGGCAATGGTGATGACATTTAGTTCAATGTTGGCTACGACAATGCCTTGAGTGCCTCAGTTTGCCCGCTAGGGTTGGCCGATTTTGGCAACTTGACCGGACTTTAAGAAACATTAAGACAGAACTAGGTCATAATATTTGACAGGTGGTCTTTCTAGATGATACTGAAGAGGACTGCATTGTTGCTTCAAAGACAAAAAAGGAAGCGGAGTTGCCCTTTAGGAGCCAAACCAACGAAGGGCATCGGCATGCCCCAGCAGAAAGAGGATCAATTTCGACCACCTGGGCCTTCTTTTGAGGTGTAATCGAAGCCTCAATTGCCATGGTGCCTTCTCTGCACTAAGCCTCAGCCAGATTGTGGGCACCTCAGGCACGATTTGAACCCACCACCTAAGGATCCGTAAACTGCAGCACTTTGCCTTGGAGCCACCAAGGCGGCCGACCGATTGTACTCTCCGATGTCATCATCATACATGGCATCCTACGGTCGCCAGAAACAATTTCTAAAAGGGTCCATTTCCTGTCAATTCAATGTAGCATTGCGAGAACAGCAAAGCAAACTGTTTCGAATGTCTGTCAGAAACAGATTTCTGAATCTAGATGAACAATGTGAAGCTGGAATGATTGACATGCCTAGCTAGAAAGCATGTAGCTGTCTCATTATAACTGTAGTAGTATGAATTGTTTTGATGGACCTGTTGTTTCATAAACAAGGACAATATCAGGTTGGATGAAAGACTGCCAACTAGAAAAAGATTAGGGTGCAAAGGTGGAGGTCTCCCTTCTGGTTTCACCAGCAAATTTACCATGTAGTGGCATGTTAAACAGAGTTCACAAGAAGGGGAGGGGTGCCTCATGCTTTGCATTACTTTCATGCCACCAAGCTTTTAACCCAAGCAAATGCAAGGACTGGCAGCCTAAATTTTGGATAAGTGGCTGATGCAAGTTCAGAATGAAATCTTCCCATATGAAAAAAATATATTACCTATATCTTTTTGCAAAATATATTGAGGTGTTAGCGAAAAAACACTTTATTGCCCGAGAAAACGAAAAAAGATATGAAAAAGTTTTCACGACTGCACTTTATTGTTCAGTCGAGTATTTATTACGTTTGTGAACAAGACATACAGAACATTTTTATCAAACAGGTTCACTATGGAGATGTTTCGTTTTTAAATAGGCTTAAAAGTGAGTCCCATGATTTCAGCCCCCGTTTCTAGCAATCATGTACAGAGATGAATCTTCCACACTTTTTCCTTGGTTGCGTAACTCTTAGGAAATAAGGATTCGACTACAGACAAACCATGACCAAAAACCATGAACCATAATCTCGCAACAATCCTTCGGGAACCACGAGCTATGCTAGTATTGAGCTAGTAACCAGCAAACTCCTCGCTACAAAACACTCCAGATTACGATGCAATCTGTTGTGGCAAACCTTCTAAAGAATAGTTCATTCATAAGGCCACAAAAGCGGTTAGAGCTGAATTAAAACAGGAACACTCCCTCTCCTCCCAAAACAAAAAAAGCTAGACACAGCAATTCCAACGCTCCTTGACTTAAGATACAAGTCCTTTCATTTGACATATCCTATTATTGCAGCATGGTATGCACAAAAATCGGCAGCATCACATCGGGGTGTTATTGTCAGTGCTCAACTGCGTCGCAATTACATTTATTGAAGTTTCTATGGCTCCAACATTTTTCACTAGACGTTACTCAATTAAAACCGAGAAAAAGAAAACAATCAAAAATGCACGTCGAGGTAGCTCGCTATTTCGCACACCGAAGGTCGTCGCGAAAGAGATCTTGCCTGATTAACGAAATAATCCGCATCGGTTGTTGTAACCATGTGTAACTTCGGGCACGCTCCAAACAATTCCATCATAGTTTAACACTGTTCAGACTCTCTTGCCCTCCGAGCGCGCTTTGTCTCGAGGGCCGATCGACAGCGACGGCTTCTCTGGGCCTTTTGTCTTGCATCGTCGGAGAGCTGCATAAGGCACCTGGACGAAGGAGGAGAGCGTCAGTCTTCTTTTTTGGCCATCGGGTTCTTGGGCAAGGGAGACACCACTGCATGCTTGGGCTGCCGTACGACATCCTGGGGGCTCAGAATGTCTCCCGAGGCGTCCACTGGCAGCACCCTCTCAGTCGGCGGCCCCTCGTCCTTGCCCAGCTTGGTCTCGTAGCCTTCGTCGCACGACACCATCTCGGTTTCGTCTGCATCTGGATTCGAGAAAGAAAACGAAGAGAGTCGTTACCTCACCTTCTTATTTGTTTGAAATACTATCGGTTTTATACAGGACCAAGATAGGAGTGGTATTAAACTATCACATGGAATCATGTGCACAAAATTGACATATTAATACAAAAGTACAACACAGCAGTGGATTGATCAAGGTACTGCTGGCAAAAATGTCCGAGATAAGGGAACTAAATTCATCCCGACCTCTGGCAGTCGCAACATGTTCTGGGAGCTTGTTCCATTCTTGCATTGTTTGCAAGAAAAATGAATACTTAAAACAATCCTTAGAAAACTCTCACTCGTCCACATATCTAGTATGCTTATTGCGGGCGATATGCAATTACATTCGTTCATATACTGTTGTTTATTTACAAGAAATAGGTTCTTTACTATGTTCTAGGAAAGATTAAACTGTTTATTCTTCCTTCTTATGCTAAGGAGAGGCAGATTCGCTCTACTACAAAGAGGTGACACAGAGTCTAGCCTTCTGTAACAATAGTAGATAAAACCCAACACACGTCGTTGGAGCTGTTCCACATCTGAAATTGGATATTTAGTATACGGGTCCCAGACTTCGCACGCATATGCCAGCAAAGGCCGTATTGACATCTGGTATGCCATGATCTTTAAGTTTAAGAGAATGCCTAACGTAACCGAGTCTTTTATTAACTTTCATGACTATTAGCCCTTCCCCTTGCAAATAGCAAGCGCTTGGTGTGCGCTCGCCGAGCAGATTCTTGTTCCCTTTGCAAGAGGCGAGGAATCGCTCCGTGTGCCGCTCGTTGATCTGGAGCCAGTGGGGCACTCGCCAAGTGGCTCCAACAGATCCGCGGAAAAGTGATTGATTGATTGAGTTTTATTGGTGCAAAAGCATCTAAGGCTATAGAGCGCCAAAGTCTGACTATTTCATAAATGCTTTCTAGAGAGGAAAGAGGGCTCTAGTGGCCAGTGATAGAATAAAAGGATGTGCATGAATCTGTATATAAATAATGTGAATGAAAAATTTAAAAAATTGCAAAGCAAGTTTAAAGTTGACGTAAAAGTCCAGTGCTTTCTAGGAATTTAAAAACATTTGTATGATTTATAAAAGGTTCATCTCCAAGCAAAAGGGCAAGGTGTAAAGGCATCAGTGCTGAATAAAACTGGGCAAAGTAGAATTGGCGGTATCTGTGATATGCGGGGCACTCAAGAAGGATATGCACTACAGTTAATGGTTCTGAACAGTGTTCGCATGCAGGTGGATCCTCTCGGCGAAGCAGATACCGATGTGTTAGATGTGATTCTTAACTGACAAAGGATTACCTAAAAAAAAACGGTCCCTATGACGGGCACTCGCCCGCTCCTGTAGTATCGGCTTCACAACATGGAGTTTGTTGTTGGTTTCGCGGGACCATTCCTCTTGCCATTTAACCTTGATACTTTTCTTTACGGTCGCTTTGTAGTCTTGGTAGGGTATGTCGTGAATATCAACCTTCCTTGTAGCACATGTGGAAGCGGCCCGATCAGCAGCTTCATTGCCGGGAATACCCACGTGACTAGGCACCCAGCAAAAGACTATCTGCAATTTGTTCTCCCTAGCCGTAGCAACCACTTTATGGTGTAGCTGAGTTATTAGAGCGTTTTTTGCTATCTCAAGGGATCCGAGTGCTCTCAGAGCACTTAGTGAATCAGTGTAAACTATAGAGTATGGAAGCCTATTTTTGATAATATAATCTGTGGCCAATAGTAACCCGTAAAACTCGGCAGTCAAGATAGTTGCACTGGAATTAATCCTCCGCACACATTTAAGTGATGGTCCAATCACGGAACAGCCGACACAGGAATCGGTTTTTGTGCCGTCAGTATAAAAGGTGGTGTAGTCTTTATATGTATTTTGTAGCTCAAAGAATTCCTGTTTTAAGACTTCTGGTGGGGTAGTTTTCTTAGTGAACTCAGTGAGTGACAAGTCTGTGATGAGCAGACCATGTTCCCATGGTGCCACTGTTCCCAAAAGCTGAACAACAGGTGGGTTTGTCTGAATGCTAGCAGATACGGCCGCAGTCTTGTTCCGCAATGAAAAGGGAGGCTTAACAGCGGGCTTGCTTTGGAAGGTTCGTTCAAAACGTGTTCCCTCGACTAGTTCCCGACACGGATGTTGTACTACAGACCGTATCCTAAGGGAATACATTACACCTAGGAAATCTCGCCTTTTCTCTAGAGACATTTCATTAGCTTCAGCATAGAGGCTCAGCACAGGAGATGTACGAAACGCACCGGTGGCAAGTCGGATCCCTGCATGATGGATTGGATCCAACATTTTCAGTGTTGATGCACTCGCTGATCCATACACCAAACATCCATAATCTAGACGTGACCGCACAATCGACCTATAGATTCTTAGAAGGCACAGTCGATCAGAGCCCCAAATCATGTGGGAGAGAACTTGCAGAATATTAAGGGATTTACGGCACTTTTGTTTTAGTGTTTTGATATGCTGGGCTGAAAGAGAGCTTGGAGTCGAATATAAGCCCTAGAAACTTATACTTTGTTTTTATCGGAACGGGTGCACTGTATATGGTCAACGAAGGTGTTAGCATCACACCACGTTTTCGTGAAAAACAAACACAAGCAGTCTTCTTCGTGGAGAACTTAAATCCGTTATTGTCAGCCCACCTTGTCACATTATTAATAGTTAGTTGAACACTCCGTTCGCAGATTGCAAGGTTACATGAGGAAACAGCAATCTGGAGGTCATCTACATATAGCGAATAGTGGACCGATGGTGGTATGACGCACGATAGAATTGATTTTTATAGCAAACAGAGTAACACTTAGGACACCGCCCTGTGGAACACCGTTTTCCAGTACAAACCATCGTGAGTGTACAAACCCCAGCCTTACTCAGAAGGTGCATCTACCTAAATAGCTCTCAATGGCATGGAACATGCTGTCCTGGATACCAATGTCAATCAGGTCCCTCAAAATTCCATGCCGCCAGGCAGTATCGTATGCTTTCTCGAGATAGAAAAATACAGACAGGCAATACTGTCTATTGACAAAGGCCTCTCAAACAGTTGTCTCCAATCGAACCAATTGATCCTCCGTCAAGCGGGACGAGCGGAAACCACCACTGGTATTTATCCAGAACGCAATGTTTTTCCAGGTGCTGCATCAGTCGTCTATTAATCATTTTTTCAAGGGTTTTACACAAGCAGCTTGTCAATGCTATTGGCCTGTAACTAGCAGCAGCATCCAAGTTCTTTCCAGGTTTAAGCAGAGGGATAATTGTAGCCGTTCTCCAAGCTGATGGAAAACGTCCCTCCTCCCATATTCTGTTGAAAAGGTATAAAACCAGATCAAGTGTAGACGGGTGGAGGTGATTCAACATGAAGTAGTGGATACCGTCAGGACCAGTTGCCGAGGGTTTGACGCTATGAAGGACCATCTTTAGTTCAATAAGGGTGAAGGATCTATGGTCCTGGCTTCTTTCTGCTGTTTTAGCCGAAGAAATGATGGTGAATAGTGCCTGGAATTTGAAACAAATTCGAAATGTTCTCCAAGAATATTGGCTTGTTCCTCTAGACTTTCTGGACGGGTTCCATGGCAGGATAGCAGGGGGATGGTGAAAGCACTATAAGATCCATTGATTTTGTTAATTCGGTCCCAGACCTCTTTCGGGGATGTGTGGCTATTTATTGATGTCGCATACCCTTGGAAACTTGTTCTTTTCGATTGCCGGCGAATGTAGCGTGCACGGGCCTTCATTTGCTTAAAGTGAAGATGATTGCTTGATGTCGGAGACCGTCGAAATATGCTCCATGCTTTGTTTTGTTTTTTTCGTGATTCTGAGCATTCTTCATTCCACCAAGGCTTGGGACGGCGTGGGAGGCGTCCCGAGGTCATGGGGATTGCCATTATGGCTGCCTGAAGGATACAATTAGTTAAGTATTCGTTCACTTCATCACTTGAAAGCTTGTCAAGAGATGTGCATGCGAGCAGGGAGAATTCGCTGAATTCTGACCAGTTTGCCTTCTCAAATTTCCAGCGGGGAGTTAGGCTGGGGAGGGTCACGACCTGGGTTATTTCGTCTTAAAACAAACGGCATGTGGTCACTACCTAAAGGATTATCTGTAACCTGCCATGAAAAGAGTGAAAATAAAATAGGTTCACTTATAGAGAGGTCAATTGATGTAAATGAGTTTGTGGGTGCACTAAAATATGTAGGTTTCTTTTCGTTAAACAGACACAAATTTGTAGATAAAATAAACCGTTCGACAATTGCTCTACGAGTATCGCGTCTAGTACTGCCCCATAAAGGATTGTGTGCATGAAAATTGCCAAGAATAATGAAGGGATGAGGGAGCTGAGCGATGAGTGACTCAAGATCTTCACACCTTAAATGAGAGTTTGGAGGAATGTAAAGTGAACAAAGGAACAAACGGAGAATGATGAGCTTCTAAAGGCCCGTTCACAGTCTCGCGACCGAGTGCGACCGAGTACGACTGAGAGAGACGAGTTCTCTTAAAACTTGTTAAATGTTTTTAAAATGAGGGAACAAACTGGCATTGTGGCGCCATCTATGCGGTGACCCTGGAACTGCATTTCACGAGAGCGAAGGTTTTGCGGGATTTCCGAGGTCAAATGTGCGTAATACCCATAGAAAGGCTCGTTTATAACATTTACAAAAGTTTTTCGAGCCAAGAAAGAAAGGATAATGCGCGAGAAATAAAAAAAAAATATGCCGGACCGCCAAGTTTACACTGCTTCTTAATAGATGGCGCCAGTGTGTTTTCTGGTTTAAGAAGTTGTAAGGAACCTAGGTTTAAGAGGTCGCAAGAGTGTGAACGGGCCTTAAGCCTGTACCTCTTCAACATGAAAATAAACGGAAAGGTGTGCTGCGTATTGCGCGACAGTGGAGACACCATTGACCTTGTTCACCCTACTTGTGTCACTGAAGCCAACTACAATGGAAAGTGTAGTTGGATCAAGTCGGTGATAGACA